TATATATTATATATATGAATCAATTTATTATGTTATATATTAATCAGAAATATGATTATTAATAATATTAGGAAATATAACTTTTTATTCTATATACTATATTCTATAATCTATAAAATGAGTTTATGTATATATCCATATTGTTTTCCCGTGCTTAGGGTATGTGGTCGGCGGTGCCATCTTGATAGCCATATCAGAGGTGACAATGTTCCGAAACATTAGCCCCTGGTGGTTCCTGCTCGCCTCGGTTCCGTCCGTTTTGAGCGGCGGCACTTGCGCCCTCATCACGGGCATTTACTGCTACATCTCCGACGTGGCCAACGAGCAGAAACGCGCCTTGAGGTAAGACCCAGATCACCTTCAGCTCGAGTCCTTGTGGAACTGCGAGTAATTCGGGTCTATTTTCAGAATGGTGCTGAATGAAGCATCGCTGTGCGCCGGCATGATGATTGGCAATGTGGCCAGTGGTTACATTTACGCAGCCACCAATTCGGTGACGCTGTTCGGCATTGCGGCGGGCCTGATGTTCCTGGCGCTGCTCTATGTGTACTTCTTGGTGCCGGAGAGCTTGCCGGCCGAGGACATACAGCAGGGGTCGCGAGTGCGTGAGTTCTTTCGCTTTGGCCTGGTCAAAGATCTGGTCAGAACTACCTTATTGCCGCGTGCCAACTTCGATCGCGCCTTCATCTGGCTGACTATGGCGGCGCTGACCATAACCATCTTCAACATGGAGGGCGAGAACACGGTCAACATCATGTTCCTGCGCGAGCAGTTCGACTGGACCATCAAGGACATCAGTCAGTTCAATGCGGCACGCATCGTCATCCAGCTCATCGGCAGCGTCGCCGGCATGATACTGCTGCGGCGCGTCCTCAAGGTCTCCATCATTAGCGTGGCCATGCTCTCGCTGGCCGCCTGCGTGCTGGAGAGCACAGTGCGCGCCACGGCGAGGTATTCCTGGGAGATGTATCTGGGCATGACGCTCGGCATGATGCGCGGCGTGCTGGGACCCATGTGCAGGGCGATACTATCGCATGTTGCTCCAGCCGCCGATGTGGGTGAGTGACTACGACTATGCCTCTCCTTGTCAGCTCTGTAAATTGTCTTCTCCTAGGTAAAATCTTCGCTTTGACCACGTCCATGGAAATGGTCTCGCCGCTGGCTGCTGCGCCGCTCTATACGTCTGTCTACAAGGCAACGGTGGCCTTCTATCCAGGCGCCTTCAATTTCATGAGCGTCGGTCTGTTCTTCCTCTGCTACATTCTAATGGCGTAAGTAGTACCGCGAGGGTAGCTCTAACAGTTTTCCAAATATTCATAAATGCTTTGCCTGCATCTTAAAGTCGACTTTTATGGTCACATGCGAGGGTAGTCTGAAAAGTCTTCCATCTATTTATATTCGTATGAACAAAAGTCGAATACTTTTCAAACTTCTCTCGCATATCAGTCGAGAGGGATCTGTATTAGCTGCCCTCGTACATAATACATTTGCAGAGATGCCTCTAAATCACTTTCTTTCTATCTTTGCAGCATCATCTTTGGCATCCAGAAATCGTTGAACAATTCGAGCGTCTATAAGACCATAGGCAGCTAACCAAAGATTACCTCAACCCCGGCTTAGCTCAATTCGCAATACCTTAACGAACATGCAATTTACCCTTTTTGTGATGTCTAGACAGAATCGTTTTTACAAACATACATATGTATATAAAGAATGCATATATACATATATATATATACATCATGTTAACTGTATGATAGACCATTTTTTATATCAGTATGAGAAGTATTAGCAGTTTTTTCAACTTGTGAATGTAATTTGTAATTTGTAAACGTAAAGGCAATTTGTTTCAATTCGTAACTGCCCATGGGAACTGAACTGTATAAAAAATAATTTATATATGTACACATATATATACAATGTTATAATATACCAATTGTACAAAGATAGACAGAGAYCAAGCCAATTGTAAAATATTTTCAAAGCTTAAATTAAAGTAAACCAAATCTATATATTGTCTATAGTTTTAATGCTCAATTAGCTCATTGTTAGATTTATTGCTTATTGGAGTGAAGGGGCTTTCGCTTAAGCCTAGATCAGATCACAATTATTTATAAATAGAAAATAAAACTAAACTAAAGTAAAGTAGGATATATAGGCGAATCACAACGGAAGATCGTGAGCTCTCCTATTTCAGCACCTTGGCGTAGTACTCCTTATGCATAAGCTTGATGCGTAGCACACAGCTGTAGAAATGTATATAATCATTAGTTTTAGCATTAGCATTAGCATTAGCARCTTACCAGATGAATATGAATGACATCATATAGAAGCCCACGCTCATGAAGTTGAAGAGGCCCGGATAGTAGTGAAGCGAGCGTTTGTAGACGAAGGTGTAAAGCGGCGCAGCGACTAAATTAATAGCAATTAATTATTAATTAAGAATAGCAATGCTAATGAACAGCCGAGTTGGCCAATGACTTACCGAAAGGTGCAAACGATTGCAAAACATTTTTGATTGAGAAGATTTTACCTGCAAAACAAAAAGAAATGGAAACATAGAAATGAAAGATAGTATAATAGATTTGTATATGGTTAAAGCGTACCCAAGTCGGAGGAAGGTACTATATTAGAGACAATGGTGCGACACATGGGTCCGCCAATAGAGCGAAACACGCCCAGTACAACCGATAGGTACATGTGCCACGCCTGCGTCGAGCAGCCCCTCGCCAGATTCTTCAATATTTCCGAGGCGAATGAAAGCAGCGCCAGTGTCACCACAGATAGACGGAAGATCTGTAAATATATATAATATGTATAGAGTTGTGATAGTAGTAGATATACTATATAGATATACATATATCCAACTCAATTTGAATAGGTAAATGTTTTAATATCAGTCTTTGATCTCATTAAAGTCTGATACATTTCAAGCAACCCTCATATATAGCATGTCGTATATAAGTATGTGTTATATTTATCCTACTTGATTACCTTGCGCAGTATCAGGAATCCAATGAGTGCGCCCACCATGGGCACCATGTGGCTGACCGTCTCGTAGAAGGTGTAGTCCCTGACAGACCAATGGAACTTCTCGCGCACGAACAGATACATGACCGTCATGACGCCATCTATAAGATTAGAAATGCTAATTGATTTTAAAGTGAACGACTTACAAATATCCTATAATCAAAAGTAAAAGTTGTGTTTCAGTCTTGACTGGCCGACTAGTAAATGCCATAACGACCAGCAAAGACCCTACACACCGTTGCTACCCTCTTGCCTTCCCGTCTGATCGAACTTACCAAAGACAAAGATGGACAGGCACATGGCCATTGTGACCAGCCAAATAATTGCCCGTGCATGATTTTCGCGTGGCTTCGTGCAGGTGCTAACCATATCGCGGATGTGTGAAAAACTGAATAGTCCGGTCTTTTTGCCATCGGCGTCGGGCTGCGGCTTGCTCTGGGCCTGTGCCCGGGCCTTCACCTTGGGCGGCAGCTGCTCCACATATTTGGCTAGAAGATCCTCATCGAACGTCATGTTGGGCGTGGCAGGCGTGGGCAGCTGATGACATTGCTGCTTCTGCTTATCCTGCTCGGCATCGCAATCGGGATTCATGAATATGGGCGGACAATCAATGGCCACGCATTCCGGTTGCAAATCAGATGCCGTAATGGGCATTTCCTTTTCTTTATTGGCGGTGGAAACGGTAGCCTCGTTTGCCATCCTGGCCTCATTTTCTTGCCGATAATGCAGGCTTTCCGGCACGAAAAATATGACAAAGAAGCAGCCCAATGTAGTGATGCAGCCGGAGATGCCAATGGTGGTGGCCGCGTTGGTGGCGGCATAAACAAAACTGGACAAGAGCGAGCCACTGGTCAAGCCGATGAAGAACAGCGACTCCATGAAGATCATGCTGAGATAACAGACAAAACAAAAGATAATGCCCGAGAGGAGGCTAGATATAACTGTACCTACTACTAGAGGGTTCCACTTACCGATATGGCCGCGTTTTGGTGTCGGTTATGTCCGAGATGAAGCAGAGAGCTGCCACGGAGAAGACACAATTGCCGCCAAGCATGGAGTGCGGTACGGCGGCCGCAATATACCACCAAGGATTGATTTCATAGTAGGTGGACAGCTCACAAATGGCAGATGTAACCAGAAATGATAGAGCGAATCCTGCAAAAACACATAATTAATGAATAAACATTTTCTCAGCGCAAATTAGTACTCGACATGATTTCTTCCTTGGTCGCCAACTTAACACAACACACAATCTATTTTATTCACTCACACGGGCACACAGCATGCGGAATTGAGCTTAGCTTAGTAAAGCTGCTGTCTCGCTCTCGCACAGGACAAAGCAAATTATGCTCATTTACACTATGCAAAAGTGAATGGCGTAGCAAAGCAAAATGAAAGCAGAGACTGAGCCACATGGGCGTCCCAGCCATTTTTTGAAGGGGATAACTATTTCCAATTAAATACAACTTAACATAAATAAAGTGACCCTGTATATTGGGAGAAATACTGCTAATATAATTTAATATTGCTCAGAGTTTGAGGGCCTTGCGTTGCCTACGCCCATGTTTAAAAGAGAACACAATTAACAGTTATGTAATAGCTTTCACTCTGACCTATCGCAGACACACAGGCAAAGATATGCAACATTTTCATTTACCAATCATGGACACGATGAGCAGTGGCTTGCGTCCGTAGTGATCCGACCAGGAGCCAATGAAGAGGCCACAAAAGGCAGGCACAATGCTCTCGAGCAGCGTGCGCGAGAGAAATAGGTTAGCCACATATGGCTGCAGTTCGGTTTCGATTGCCTGGAAAACAGTGATTTAGTCGTTGTGCAATCACTAAATAAATAAGTTCAAGTAAAAACCTTGATCTCGGCGCTAGCATTTTTATCATCCAGCAATTTGCAATCGCTTACATTGTAGCGAAAAATCACTGTGCAGGTCTGATAGATGATCTGATTTCTCATGATGGTACCTGAATGTTGATAGATATTTAGTGGCTTGTGTAAAAACAGTTTCTAATTTTGGCACTTACTTGATAAGGTTATCGAAAAGAGCAGCATAAACACAACCGGTTCTATGTAGACCATATAAAAAATTCGATGCCATTGGATTTCACGAAAGCGTTTTAATGTTAATGTTTGCGAGACTTTTTGAACCATTATGACAACTGTTCTTTAAAGCCAAATTCTTGAGATTTGTCAGCTATGCTCGGCTACGCGTAGTTTTTCTTAAGACTGTCTCAAATGTCACTAGCACTTATAGGAAAAGTTCTTGGCTGGTCAACTTGTTGGCAACTGAATTTCAAATTGCACAAAATGATTATTTATTATATTTTTCAAAGGTACAGTTCAACGAATCTATTTATTTAGAGGCCAGTTTGAGACTCGCCTAGTTACATTATATGTTTATCAATTAGACTCTGGTGAATTTCAGCAATGACATATTGGCAATAAACAAAAAAAAGGTATAACAATGCGCACTTCACAGCTCAAATTCATATTACGTATACGACAGGTAAATACACACGCACACATACACGTACACCAATGTTGACCTTATTTATGTTTGAGTTCCGTTAAGTTTAGTTTGGGATCTGAGATGCGACTTGAATCGTTGCTCGATTCTGTAAATGAGCTGGTCGTTGTACAGTCTCTGGGATTTTCTAACCGGTCGAATGCGAAATCGTAGAACAATCACAAAAGATGCAGCCGAGCACAAATATTCCGCAACACTTGTTCATCAAAAATCAAAGTTAGTTCCCTCCATATGTACACCTCTCCTACACACATGTAATTTAGCTATGTACTTCAATGGCTGTTGCTTCTCACAAGCATTCCATTCTCAACACACTCGATTCCTATAGTCAGGTAGTTTGATATTGCAGCGACAACGCTTCCGATTCGTTTAATTTCGATTTCGCCGACTGCCGGGCTTAAATAACTTTTTGTGGCTCGCTCCCGGCGGCACTTGCTACAGGTTTGAACACTCCTAGGCACACTTTCTGTTGTTTCTATGCCCGCCAGCTAGATGTGCAATGAGAGTATATCGGTATTGTTGCTTCCAGCAGTCAAGCTCACCAGAAGCATAATAAAGCAGCTTATATTAGTCAACGAATATTTTCCAGACTGCGAGCGAGCATGGTACAGCCGTTCATAGCCGCCACATCCATTTGTTTTCGTCGTGCAAATGAGAAGCACGAGCCACAGTCAAAGCCCGCAAGAGAGTCGTAAAAAAATGAAAACAAATTTCGTTAATCAAATAAATCACATTTAAATCAGCAAAATCACCAAAACATCTGTTGCTAGATATATGCGACATTTATATGTATTTTCCTTTTCCTATATATGCAGTATTTATTATTCAGTTATACAGTATGTAACTCAGTTTTTCAATTTGAAGCTGTAAAGCAACTAGAATTTATTGTCTTGAAACGCATTCAATCAAAGCTCTAATTATAAATTAGCAAACATAAATTAACGCTCGATTTAGCATCTGAAGTTTATTTGTTTGTCTTTTTTATTTATATAAAAACGTACATATTTATAAATGTATGTATATATATATTTTT